AATCTCTTCACTGGCAGTGGCATGTGCAGCGAATGTCTAGCTGACAGAATTAACTAGTTTCCACGACTACCTATCGTTTTCGATCGCGGAGGCGACAGCGTGAGGCAGTTTCTCAGACCTTCCCGACACTGTACCAGGGTCTGAGCTTCAGCGTAAGAAAATCAGAGCATGGAACAGATTCCATCCGTCGAGGTTCTTGCTCCGTATCATTCTTGACGGTCTCCGGGGTTTTCAAGAGGTAGGTTGAGAAAGTGATAGCTGTTTCGCCTTCATTTCTGTATGCACTTGCAGGACCCGGCCAGACCATAGCAGCTCTTACTGCTCAGTCGGGTGTAGCAGCGGTTGTAAACCAACGTTTTTTCTGATAACTGAACTCCTGAGCCCTGTGGTTCGTTTCAGAAAGCCTATTTCAGTCTTTCATACCCCGGAACAGAGATTTTCAGCTACGGTACACGACTCATCACCATACCTGAGCAAGGGATAAAAATCCACTTCTGACCGATGAACTGTTTAACAAAAATGCATTTCATTTTTTCTCTCTCTGTCGTGAATTCCGCGACCGATTCTCACAATCATGTTTGTTTTTTCAGCTGTATTCTTTAAACCTTACAAAACAGTATTTTCAGTACATTCACCACTAGGCGGCCTGTCGTTGGTTTCTGCTTTGTTTATGACTAAGTATAAATTCGTGTATAGAAGAGTAGTATGTGAAATTAGCTTTAAAAAATATTTCGAGGGCATGTAATACTTTACCTTGATGATGAAGGTGTGGCAGTTTCGAAACATGGAACATGGTGAATCATTGGTTTTACTTAATCTTATTGACATTTCTTGACGATCAGTTAATCAGATAATAATCATTATTCAAGTAGACACTGATTCGATAACTCTCCTTGCTTATTTGAGAGTTAATAGACAGATTAATAGATAGGTTAATAAATTGTTAAAGCTTCTGTAGATTAAATTTCCAGTTTTTTGTTAGAAAGGATTTAAGGTATAGCTGAAACTTCGTTTGGAGAGAGAAAAGTAGAGCAGAAAAGTCTTGGTTCAGCATTTGGTTCTTGTCAGAAATTCGTCATCATTATTTTATGTATGACATAAATTATCGACTACTGCCGTATTTTACTATGCTGTATTTAGTATCGGTTTTTAATAATTTTTTTATGATGTTTAGGCACCGCTTCTCTACCCATGAGTCCTACTGAGTTTCAGGAGGAAGGTGTCTCTGATACAGACAACACTGAAAACGGAGACAGTCACAGCACCCCAGAAGAAGAAAGAGTGCCGTTCGTTCCCCCTGCGAGACGGCGATTTGACACAGAGCTGGACAGCAGCGTTTGCCTCGAGGCAGACGAAGTAGGTGTCCTAACATTGCCTATTTCTTAGTCGATGTCCGTCTACCTAATGCAGTCTTAGTGGAACAGGAGGTGCATTTCTGTAGTTTGATGAAAATACACCTTATGTTGCCATGACAACATATCTTTGCAAAAACCATTATATTAGAATATATATCTCTATCTAGTTTCAAGAACATTTTACTCTCTGTCAAGTAGCATGTTTAAACAGGTTTGTCAGCATGAGGTTTATTTTACCGCTTACAGCTTATTGCTAGTAGGAAACCCAGACCTACTCCGTAGGCCTGCAACCATGTGTAACCCTTATGATCAAACATAAGGGCAGATAGATTTTCATTTTCAACCTTAGTAATGAATTTCTTTAGAAGATTAGCTCAACGTTACTGTTGCAAATATTTCTGTTATACGTTGCTTTATTTTCAGATGTATCTGACATGCATTGGTCACAGCTATTGTTTTGCGAGATGCCCCAAATTTATTGATACTATACTGGGAATGTTTATATGTACTTCTGTTTGGCGAATCATGTAGAACAAAAAAGAGTGACTTCTCTCGATCCTTTGGTAAAATTTCCACGATTCAAATTAGAGTAGCGTTTTCATGTTTAATTAGCCACTGCTTAAGAATTTTGTAAACAGAAGGACTACTCGCTCTGGTTATGGCATTACAAATGCTATAGATAATTTTTGGTATTCAAGGATGATTGTTAAGTGTGTTTTTAAGGATGAGAAGTTTTGGAAAGAAGCACGGAAGCTGAGGAGGTCAACTTGTTGCGCGGAAGAAATACAGCGTATCTTCGAAGAAAAGCGATTCTCGATCTTAGGGCAGGTATGAGACGGTTTTCTGCCGTTATTGTCGGTCGATGAGTCATTGTCACAGTGACATTTCAGGTTCATCTCGACTTGTGTCGTTACCACGAACTAGGCCGATTCGTAGACGAGGGTCAAAAGTATGACCGCGCAGCAGCATGGTTTCATTTGGAAGTGGCCGCCAAATGCACCGTCATCGAGGCGGTGGTTACGATGGCCAAAATTTTTCTGAATATCCCGAGGGAGCTGCTTCAAGATTTTACGGTTGACGTGAGTTAAAAACGAACATTCAGTCTGAGTGTTATTCACTGAAGGATGTGACAGAAAATGTCAAACAGTTGTATGTTCAGCGCGGACATAATTCACGTTGTAACTGCAACATGATTTATATTCCTTGCTCAATTTATTCCTACTCGTTGCGCTTTATGAATCTGAAGCTGGAATTCTGTCCAAAGAATGCATAAAAATTCGAAATGGTTCTAAATTCAGAAATCTAAAAATTTGAGCGAACTTTTGGGCAAATAATGAGTTTGATCATCACTGGTGATGCTATCAAGCAGATTATTAGATCTTTTGCAAAAACCTGTTTTCCAGCTTGCAACGAGCATTTATTGTCTGTTCGTTAAATCCAGCTTTTGGGTCACTCGTGACAAATGAAAATATTTTCTGTTCTAAAGCCTGCTCTCTTTGGAAATTGATCCTGTCATGCACCTTTACATTCCTTCCAGCTTTTTCAGTGAATTGCCTATCAGGTCCAACTGAAACTGTATGGACGTATTATAAATCGCGTATAACTCCCCGAAGACCAGATTTTACCACGTTTTGCACTACCTTTTTCCTAGTTCCCTGAGTGGGTGGGTGG